AACCCTAATTTATTACAGTAGTACAGTAAAAGTATTTGCTGACTGCTAAATGATTTGCATACTGTAGGACTGTGTTACATTTATTTACATGTTAATCAATATATGGTAAATATAATTTAGTAATTATATATATATACACACGAATTCAATTCCTATTAAAATGCTATATGAAAATTTTGACAATTAAATTAAGATCTTGAGATTCTGGTCCCAAATTTTCAAAGACCAAGGAAAGATGATTAAAAAGCTACAGATTTAAAAACTAAAATTGAAAATTAAAAAAGAAGTTAACAGACAATCGTAGGCTGTCTGTAGCTAATTTCCCCACAAAGCAAAAGGGGTAACAACTCTAACTGCTCCACCGTGGAGCGGCTGTGCAGCCATGTTTGTCTGATCCTCCCACACCTAGAATTTTCTCTCTTTTTCATCTCTTTTTGTTATTCTTTCACTTTCTGGAAGATCTCCTCAACCTTATTTTCCAACCTTTCTATGATTGCTCATTTTTCTAAGGGCCCATTCAATTTACAAGAGCCCTTTTGTTGTGTGAATTTTTAGAATCCCATCTTGTTCCCTTTTTAGGAAGGCCCAATTTTATCTAAGGAGATTGATCACTCTGGTTTTTGAAGTTTCCTTCTCCAAGACGTTTTCTTCTGTCGGTTTGTTTCGATGTCACGTGCGATGCTTTTCGGACACACGGACATCGGGTGGCTGTTCAAGTTTAAGAATGGGGTTCTGTGGGTGTGGGTGGGGCTCGGTGGCCACGGCCTTTGCCGTGAGGTGCTCCAGCCAGGCTGTTTCATTAGGGGGAGCACCATTAAGTCTTTTATCTGAGGCTACGCAGATTCCCTAGAGATTTCTCCAACTGCTTGCCTTCCGCCAAGAGGGTCAAAGGGAACACAGGGGAAAAAGGCTGGTGGAGCTCCTACATACACCCCATATGTAAACTTCCACTTCACCCTTCTTTCGGGAGAGTGGCCTCTCTCTGCTATGCCCAGTGTCCCAGCTTCTGCAGGATGATGGAGAGGCAGCTGGCCAGCTCTACGGGGGAGCTGAGTTTAATAGTTGAACCCCATTTCATTCCCCCTTTCAGAGGTTCCTGCAACCAATGCCTCCGCCTTTTGGGGGGTTTGTCGATGATAACTGAGTTGTTGCTCAAATGTCCTGCTGCTCAGCTGGGATCCAGCCTTCCTGGGTCCTGCTAAGTCAATTACAGTCCATCCGCTTCCCAGCCTCCCAAATTTTGTTGCTGTTGACACCTCTTCATCCTCTCGGGCTTATGCCATTAAGACAATCTCTTTCCTGTCATTTCAGTGGGGACTTAGGAACATGAACCTAAATATGTGTGTTCAGTCTACCCTCATGGCTATGGTAATGTTCGAATTTCCTAAAATTAAAAAAAAACACAAGCTTGAAAACCACACGATCGTAGCCAAGATTTTCTTAAGCTTTGGATCACAAAGCATCTTGAACGTGCATTATCTTCTCTAAAGCTGATGACAGCTCCATTCTGGTAAAGATTATTCTTTCTGTCTCAAAGCTGAGAAAAATCAGGAAAAAAGAAGTTTACATTCTAAAGCAGAGGGACAGCATACAAGCCAAATCTGGAAAGCTTTTTAAAAAATCAGACCAGTTAGAAACGTTAGAAATCCATTTTAAAATTCCAATTTTCAGCGGCTCTTGAAAAATCAGATAATGGGGCAACGCTGGGCCCACACTCCCCATGGCGACAATTTGGGCCCACACTCCCCACAGAGACAATCCTCTTGAGTTGACTCCCAGCTGCCTCCTTTGGGTCCCCTCCCCCGGGGGTCACCTCTGCCCCAGGCAGCCCCTCCTCTCATCCGCTCCCAGGAGACATTTGAATTTGAGACCGGAGAGAAAGAAACCACTTTATTTGGAAACACAAAATGGAACTTAATACGTATGCAAAAAAAATAAATCTATACCTCAAGCCACATTTATATGCAAATATAAACCTATCACCTGGGTCCCACCTGGTGTCCGCCTTGTCTGGATTCAGTGGTTACCCCAGAGACTAGACACAGGTAGCAGGCACAAATCCACCCAGAGAATATGCATATTTGTCTCCTTTCTCTCACACCAGCTGCGCATACTTGTGTAAACATCTGTTGATTTGTAAAACATGTCCAGTACTGCAGACTACGTGCAGGCATAAAAGGAAGGGCCGTCACTGAATAGCAACGAGGGCAGTTCACCTGGCTGGGTCACCAAGGTTGCAGGGCAGTTTACCTGGCTGGGTCACCAAGGCTGCAGTCGATGACTAATTCCCACAATGCCTTGGGAGAGGCGGGGAAGAGGACTATTCAGATGCATTGGGGGTTGGGATTTTTTTCTTCTTACATCCGTAAAGACTTTTTTTTTTTTACCTATCGCAAAATTGAAAGGGACACTACAGTCCAGCTTAAATTTTATGCCCAGGATGCTCTGAATAACAGGCAGTACCACTGAAAGATGGCACTGTCTTGACCTGTTTCTCTGCCTGTGATCGAAGGTGGCGGGTGCCATCCCCAACTCTGCGATTCTCCCAGACCTTCGCCTGCTTCTTGCACTTGAAGACGGCCTCTGATGTCTTTCCGGTTGGGCTGGAATGTCCTGGGTGGTTTTGTTCTGGTGTTTTTTTCCCCCATGCTCAGCATTTGTGGAAACTGATGCCCTAAGCAGCTTTAGAAGGCACAAAACTAGGTTTTGAAGGTGGAGTCAGTTCTTCTGCTGGCTCAGAAGGATCTCGACATCCTGCAGACCATTTTACTCTCAACCGTCCTTAAAGAAGCCCTGGATTATTAACTCTATACGCAGGCCATCCTGGCCTCCTGGAGGAGGGGGGCCGCCGGCTGACCTGCAGGCGTGTGGCTGAGTGCGCTGCAGGGGTGATGGTTCAAGCCAATCCAGACAATGAGTCATTAACCGGCTGGAGGGTCCAGAGCCAGAGTGAGTACGGTGAGTGAGTACGGTGACGAGGCTGGTTCTCCCCCGTGTTCTCACATTCGCTAAGTGCCTCCTCTCTGCCAAGGCACTGTGTGTTTGAGCCCTGGAGGCCAGCAAATTGGGCTGGCTCCCACTCAGAGTTTACCAAGGATTACAGCAGGGTCGGAAAACTGCGGCCCAGGCAGGCCCTGGTGTGGAAATCGAGTTCTACTGGAATCGCAGCCACGCCCCTGTGTCTAGGTTTGCCCACGGCTGGCTCTGCTCGCAACAGCAGGGCTGAACAGCCGCCAGGGCCTGCACGGCCTCAGGCGGTTACCGCCGGGCCCTTTACAGAACAGTCTGCCACCGACCCCTGAGTTAGAGAAAAGCACAGACCCGTAACTAGGAAACGAGGCAAGTGGTCAGGGAATGTAAATCATTTGCATAATAGAGAGAGAGAGAGAGAGAGACAGAGAGAGAGAGAGACAGAGAGACAGAGAGAGACAGAGAGAGAGAGAGACAGAGACAGAGAGACAGAGAGAGAGAGAGAGAGAGACAGAGAGACAGAGAGACAGAGACAGAGAGACAGAGAGAGACAGAGAGAGAGAGAGACAGAGAGAGAGAGAGAGAGCAGGCTGGCTAAATTAACAGCAGTAACAAAGGCTTGATGACTCTGAAGAGATGAATCACGATAAAGTTGCTTCTAACTTAACAGGCAACGTATGTCTTTTAACTACCTGCACTGGTTAAAACAAACAAAAACTTGATCTGGTGTTAACGGAAAAAGGGCGATCAGCTCTGATTTCTAAAGGAAACTGGTTGTGATGAATCCATGTGTAGGAGGAGAGACAATGTCACTTGTGGGGACTCTAAAGAACTCCTCACAGGTAATTCTGACTGCAGGCCCTGGACTCTGGAACCTACCGCTCTCATAAGTTCAAGAGTCCACCGCACTTAAAACACTAAGATGTGGAGGGACCCGTTTTAACGGTGTGATGATGGCTCACTCCGCTTTACATTTTGATTTTTAAACAAAGAGAGAGGCTGCTCAATCGCTTGGGGTCGATCGAAGCGGTCTGTTTTCTTTGCTTTTTGAAACACCGGCTGCCATCATACTGATGTTAAACATGAACTTTTAAAGAGAACGTTCACTGGGTACAGTTAGCCAAAGCCTGGCCCTGGAGAAACGACGAGAACGGACGCGTGTTAACAGCTCTTGCCCTCTCCCCTTCTCAGACATCTTAAATCAGCCTCGAGGGGCTGCTGCAGATTCCAAGAAACTCAGCATGGCTTCAGGAAGAAAATTCCAAGGACGAGGGCTGGGGAGCCGATTCTGCAAAAGAAAGTCAGCCGCTGAGGAAACGGGGAGCCCTGTACGTGGGCCGCTGCGGTCACACTGTGTGCCGAGCCCTGTATGCAGGGTGCTGCGGTCACACTGTGTGCTGAGCCCTGTACGCAGGGTGCTGCGGTCACGCTGTGGGTGCCACCGCTGAGATGCAGACTACACGTCTGCTTGGAGGATGGGCTTCGACACGTCAGGCCGCTGTCCTCACACCTCAGTCCTGAGGCACACCCACTTCCGCACCGGCTGACGGAGGAGTTAGAGGTAGTGAACACGTGCATACCAAAAGCGGCCCTGTTCTGTAAAGCCCGCTGTAGAGCATGCTTAAAAATGGCATTTGGCCGTATTGCAGAAAGTCAGTCGCATTTCAGGAGGGAACTTAAAAGGCGAGCAATGGGGCAGTGTGCGGGCAGTGTGTGGGCCCCCCGCTTGGAGGCAGGGGGCTGGGGTCGTGCATCATCGCACGTTCTGGAACCACGCCACGCACGCTTCCGGATGCTCTGAGGAGGCAGGCTCTGCACGAAGTCTGGACAACGCCCACCCACAGGGAGTCACTGTCCAGCTCCAAGGTCCCCATCAGACTCAGGGGACACGGGCCTCATGGGCCTGAGACTTCCACTCCGGCCTGAAAAGGCTAGTGAGCAAAGCTCTACCATTGTTCACCCAAGGCAGAAAAACACTTTCTTTTACCCCTAGACAAAATAAAACAAAAAAAGAACCTCGAAACGATATGTTGGTTCACGAGGCTGCTTTTTCGACCCCCTCTCCCCCAGAATGCTGCCCTAATGGACAGCTGTGGGGTCTCTGCTGGGAGCAAAGACATTTTCAAGAGTAAAAAAAAAAAAAATGACATAAAAAAAGTTGATTGACAACACACTAAAAATACTTGCTCTCCCTTCCCTCCCCCCCACTAAAAAAAAGCCCTAAATAAGTCAATAGGTCTCTTCCCCCGCCAGCCCTTCACGCAGGATCGCCAGCGCTGCGTTTCCCGGCCAGTCACTCCTGCATCTGCGCCCAGGCCTCCTCTGCCTTCTCGTAGTACTGGGTGGCCAGCCGGCCCTTCATGGCTTCTGTCGCCGCCTCAGCCGCCTGGGTGTACAAGTCGCCTGGAAGACAGCAAAGGGGGGGCACCAACAGATGACCGACCACCTGTGGCTTTCGCCAGCCCCGTGTCCCCCGCCTCTGCCTGGGAACAGCTTCCAAATGACTCCTGTCCCCTCTCCCTCCACACGACCTGGGTGGGGCTCTGGACGGTCACGTGGTTCAAGCCCAGCTGTGAAGCACCCTCCCCATTCCCACAGGGACCGGCTGGACTCTGGCACGGTCAAGGGGAGTGAGCATCTCCACGAGCCCAGCGACTGCCTTAGGGTGGGTGGGTGATTCCATTGGAGCCAGTGAGAATCAGGCGGAGGACTTTTGCAGGACTAATTGGGGAATGTATGAAAGTGGAAGAAATAAAAATCTGAAACATGTCAGGCTTGGCCGCCAGATGAATTTGTGCCACACGGACAAAAATACTTGCTTTTCTGAGCTTTTGGGATTTAGAAATTTCAAATCACGGATTATAGAGTTGTATTATTTGCCTAATTCTTTTACACGACCTTAAAAAAACACTTCGATTTAGCCTCATCTCGTACCTGTGAAATCAGGATTCAGTATGCTTATTATGTAACAGAAAAAAAAAATATATATATATATATATAATGTGTGCGTCGACGGATGAATGGATAAACCAAATGTGTTCTATCCATACAATGGAATATTATTCGGCGATGAAAAGGAACGAAGCACTAACACATGCTACGCCACGGACGAACCATGACAGTATCACGCTAAGCGAAAGAAGCCAGATGCGAAGGGCCACACGTATGACACCACTTATACGAGGCGTCCAGAGCAGGTGCATCTACAAGGACAGGAAGTGGGTTGGTGGTTGCCAGGAATGGAGGGAGGGGGGACCGGACGTCGCTGCTAACAGGCACCGGGGTTCTTTCTGGGGCGATGAGAATCTTCTGGAACTAGATGGTGGCGATGGTTACACGACATGGTGAACGTAGGAAACACCACTGAACCACACACTTTAAAATGATGCCTTTTATGTTAAGAAGAGTCAGCTCAATTTTTTAAGTTGTGGAAAAAAAAAAAAAGAAAAGAAAAAACCAACACAAAAACCCAATCCCCTGATACGTAAGCGTTAAAATGAGAAAGTTCACCTGCGCGCCGGCTCCATGAAGCCCGTGCTCCCCCACCCGCTCAAGCCAACACCATCTGGGGATCCGGCAGCAAAGCAGAGGCCCGCAGGGGCCTGTTTCCCCACCAGGCTGGAAGACGAGCCTCAGCCTAGCATCACGCCATAATTCCCAGGGGGACAGGGACCGTGTCCCCGGGGCCAGCCCTCTCCCACCTGCTCTCTGCGGGTCCTTCTGCAGCCCACAGCCGCCCGTGGACAGCATCTCGGCCTCCCTGGCCAGCAGCGCGTGCCGGGGCTCGTCCTGCATCCCGTCGTACTCGCCGCCCTCATCGTAGTCCGTCCTCTCCAGGGCCGTGCTGTACCAGTGCAGAGCCTCTGGCCAGTCTCGGGACCTTTCCGGGAGACAGAGGAACAGGGGGAGGTTGCCGTGGCAATGGGGCAGGAGGCGGCGGCTCATCAGCAGGAGCGGCACATTGGGAACCCCAGTGGGACCCACAGCACCCGACGCCATCGGGTCTAAGGGCGTCGTTCACATAGTAGATTTATACATTTATTGAGACGGCGGTCTTTGGCTTTCCCGAAAAAAATTGGTATACTACTACAACTTTCCAGCAAATGGGAGTCGAGTATCTTGAAGGGCAGGCACGTTTCTAGTTTGCAAAAAATCACCCTCTGGGCCAGCACCAGCAGTGGCTGGTACCGATCCGTCTGCCCTGACTCGAGTGGGCGGGGGACCCCTGCAGAGGCCTCCAGAACCATCTGAGCTAGCACAGTCTTGTGCCCCTGCCCCCATGCCCTGCCCGTGCTGGCCAGCTCTGGCTCCCACCCAGCACGACACAGGGCTCCCCCGGAACAGCTGGCCCCCCGCTCCGGCTCTGCCCCCCAAGCCTCGACTCCTGCTGCAGCGTGGGCCCGGCCACACCAGGGCACACGGGTTCCAAGCCCATCCCGACAACACACGGCACGGGTGAACTCGGCTGCCAGCTCCCGCTTCGGGTGCACTAACTGCATCAGGGTGTAGGTAACTCCTTACAGCCCATCAGGGAAGCGCAGAGCCAGATGCAGAGGAAGCGGCCCGTGGGTCCCATGAAACGTGCCAGGAGCGACGGCCGTGACTCGCCGTCCTCTCCTGAGGCCACGCTGCACCTGGCTCCGCACCCCCTTTCCCACCTGGGCTCCTATTCGTGTCCCCCCCCACCAGACTGCCTGCTCCCGAACACGCCGGCTCCCGTCCGCTCCTGGGCCTTTGCACCTGCCGCCCCCTCGGCTTGCCACACCGGGCTCCTCCTCCCTGCAGCCTCGATTCACGCACCTCTTCAGAGATGCCGCCCCGACACCCCGTTTCTCACAGGTACCTCAGTCTGTGCTTCTCTCGTTTACTTATCCCCCATTAGACCTGAAGCCCCAGGAAGGCAGGGGCCAGTAATGGCAGCCAGTGGCTGGCGGACATGGTGTCGGGGGCTAACCCGGCTCCGCTCTACTTCATAAAAAGGGAAGTCATTTGACAGCGACCGGTGGTTTTCACATCTGACCGGAAGCCACTCGCGTAGATGGTCCCACCCTCTCAACGCTGACCCCCTGGTCCAGAAGGGCCCGGGTCTGTGCTGACACTGGATGGGAACCTCCCAGCTGCACCTCCCCGAGCGACGGCCACGTACCTGTCCGGGCTGAGGTTCTGGCCGGTGTCGAAAGCTCGTGCCACCAGGATCATGGACTGTCTGTCGCCCGCTTCAGCTGCCTTCAGTAAGTAGTTGAACCCTCTGGTTTGATTTTCTTCCGTCTCCTGTCAACGCCGACCAGCGTCGGGGAGAGAAGAGGGAATCGGGTTTGCACCGCAGGGGCTGCCGACGTCTCTGACCCATCTTCTCCGTTCCCCGAGCTGTTTCGGGGAGCCTGGGAGGACCCCGTGTCGTGAGGAAGAGAACAGGGCTGGCACGCCGCTGTGACGAGCTGCTCGGGGCCCCGTCAGGGAGGAGAGCCAGGGGCTGAGCGCTCTCTCGCTGTCCTCTGTCTGATCCTGCCCCCCTCGTCTCCTGCCTCCAGCGGGGTTCCCTGCTTCCACCCTTGCAAAAACTTTAGACGGCTGCGTCGATAGAACTCACGAAGCGTACACCTCTCCCACTTACGGTGACACTTCCACGGCGTTTCGTGTGCCCGCAGAGGGTTCCGCCACCACCGTCACATTCAGAACATTCTCGTCAAGCCGAAAAGAAACGAAAACGCCGCAGCCCTGAACTGTCACCTCCACATCGCCCTGCCCAGCCCTGGGGACCGGCTGACCTCCCTTCTGCTCCTCGAGAGTCCCCCGCTCTGGGTACTTCACATGAGTGTGGCCCCACGACATGCGGCTGGCTCCTCCCTGCAGCACGAGGCTCCAGGGCCCACTGTGCTACAGCACGTACGGGTGCTTCGTCCCCTTTAGTCCAAGTGACTCTCTCCTGTACAGATATGCCACCTTCGTCTACCCGTTCGCCGGTCACGGCTGATGGCTGTCTGCCTGTTTCTACGTTTTGACTATTGTGAATCATGCTTCTGTGACACTCACGCACGGGTTTTTGGGTAAATGTGAGTTTCCAGTCTCTTGGGTATATGCCCGGGAGTGGACATGCCGGGTCACGTGCAGCTCCATGCTTAGCCTTTTGGGGAGCCGCCAGCTGTTTTTCGCGGTGGCTACGCCGCTGTACATGCCCACCTGCCCCCCAAGACCCATCCTACAGCACCAGCCAGAGACGTGCCTTAAAGCCCAGGCCCAGGGCAGGGGACATCACTCTATCGAAGCGGCTCCAAGACGTCCTGTCTTACTCAGAGACAAAGCCAAAGCCCTTCTCCACCTTCGGGCTTCGAGAAGTATGGCGGGGACCACCCCTCGTCGCCCGCATCCATTCTCTTGGCTGACCAGCTAGGGGCTGCATTTCCCAGCCTCCCTTGCAGCCGGAACCTGCGTCCTAACAAAACAAGAGGCCCATCCGGTCACTCTTGGTCACATACCCTGTCATATTTTCTCCCAAGCACTCTAAAACAGTGCTTGGCAGGAAGTGCTCAGTAAAGGTTAGTTATTTCTAATTCTGCTGGAAATGTTTTCATTTGTTAATTATTATCTGCACTACATCCTTCTCCTCCTGAAAAGTTTGCTGTCGTGAGTAAGAACCTAGGACGGGGCCCAGACTGCAGGAGGTGCTCAAAAAGCCTGTGCTGGATCAGTGTCCCAGTGAGACAACAGAAAGGGGCCCCCCCAAACGGGGCAGCAGGAGAAGGGGAGATGAGCTTCCTGGAGCACGCGGTGGCCTCTCGGGGCACCTGGCCCGTCTTCCTGGCTAAGCCACAGGCTGCCTGAACACAGCCGACGTCCTTCCTGCCCGCCCTGCCCTGGCCAAACCTCTCGATCCAACCACAGCCCTGCTCGGGGAAGGTCCCACTCTGCCCTCGAGAGAAAGGCCTTGGGGACACCCGCAGAGGAGGAAACTGGACTTGCTTCCGAACCCCGTCACAAAGGGAGTGTCAGGGAGCGGGGACCGCGCCCAGGCCTGGCCCCCGCCGTGCACCCCGGGGCCCAGCCTCCTCCACTCAGGCCTCACATGCTTCTGCGTGTCCTCGCCCGGCCAGGCTCCGTGGCAGGACGCTGGGGCTGGCTCCGCAGGCTCGTGAGAACCGAATGAACTTTTGGGGGATTTTGCAAACCATCGTTAAAAGTTAAATTAGGTAAACTTACAAGTAATGGACGGTGACAGCTCCCCAGAGCTGACCACTTCCTAACGACTTTACTGTGTTTTACTATTTACTCTCTGCGACCCCGAGTTCTTCCCATCTATCACAGGCATCTCAGCCTCAGGACCACCGACGTGGGGACCAGGCTGTTCTCTGCCGCGGGGCTGTCCCACGTGTTACAGGATGTCGGGCTCGGGCAGCGCCCCGGCCTCTGCCTATGAGATGCCGTTCGAGCCCCCAGAGTTGTGACAACCAACCATGTCGCAGACACCGCCACGTGTCCCCAGGAGGAGAGGGCAAAGCGAGTGGTCGAGAAGCTCCGGTCTGCTGGGTCTCCACGGCGGGAGGCTACGTGGCGGCGTCTCCCACCCTCTGCTCCCCAACTCTGTGTTCAACCATGTCCGTGGGGGGAGGGGCAACGACAGCAGAGAAAGCGGGAAAAGCCACGTTTGATCGACTATCTTTTTGATTGTGTTGGCTGGGAAGGGAGATGGAGAACCGTTAATAATGCAGATGGACTTAACGGGGTGCCGTCTCTGCGGCCGCGGCACTGTGACCAGCACAGGAAATGGAGGAAACAGCCTTCGCCATCACCCGATTCGCTGACCAAGTGGCTCATGGCGGTGACAAATGGGGTTCTGCCTCCGATGGGTGCCTTTTTTCCCCACGTTCATCTCACTAAAGTAAATGAAAGCATCGACCCACGTTTACAGCACAAGGTCACAGCTCCGTCAACTGCACCGTGGCTGGGGCTACCGACCACGTAAGAATCCCACGAGAATTAGTGGGCACGTTCTGTGGGGCTCCACGGAATTTACTGTAGAGAATTGTTATTCTTGGTAAACTGCGTGCCCGACATTCTCTATGTCAGTAAAACTTACAACAAGTTTACGAACCAACGTGTGCACACAGTCTCCCCCCTGCCCCCACCCCCGCCCTCCGAGAGCCAACTGGTAAATGTTCACCGGCACGCCACTGGTGGCATGAGAAATATTCGGTCCTGCGGTCAAGAAGCGTGGAGATGGGAGAGAGGGAAGTCACCACCAGCCCTCAAGTCCCCTCCCCGAACCAAGTCTGCCCCTCGGCATCTAAAACGGGAAGTAAAGATGGCTGTGCGTTGTTATCTCTTGCCCACAGGCTAAACAGTACATATGACTGAATGACATCAAAATGCCAATATTCTACCCTTCCTGACCCATGAAGATGGTAGTTCCATGAAGTTCAGTGAACACGCACGAGGCTAGTCCCTGCGGCAATCTTCGTGCAATCGAGAGAACAGAACCAGTCCCAGCGTCCACCCACAGGGCCCAGGTTACGTGAAGCACGTGGCCTCGTGCAGCGGAGCGTGTGGCGGCTGTCCAGGAGGACAAGGTCGCCTGCTCCTACTGCTGAGAAACGCCCGCAGGACGGGGCCGGTCGGGAAAGCGAGGTTTGGCGGGGGTGTGTGTGCGGTAGGCTAGCATTGGAGGAAAAAATCGGGTGATCACAAGAATCTGTACTTTGGGGTGGCGTTAGAAAACTGTGTAATGGGTTCGACAGTGTCCCTCCCAAATTCACACCCACCCAAAACTTCAGAATGGGGCCTGATTTGGAAGGAGGGTGTTTGCAGGTGCAACTGGCTAAGACGAGGTGATCCCGGAGCAGGCGGGCCCCCCACCCCATGTGACTGGTGTCTTTACAGGAGGAGAGACGCGGAGAGGCCAGGAGAGTGAGGGAGGGCTGAGGGCTCCCCCTGGAGGCTGGGGGAGGCCGGACGGGGCTCCCCGGAGCCTTCGCAGGGAGCGTGGCCTGCTGACACCGCGCCCCCCCCAGGTTTTGGGCCTGCAGCCCCCAGAGCCGTGAGAATGAGCTCGTGTTGTTTTACGTCCTGCGGGGTGTGGTCCTTAGTGACGGAAGCACCAGGAAGCGGTGCGTTCCGGAACTCCACACGAGAAACCGCGTTTTTAAAAAGAAAACTAGTCACAGTGGTTTCCCGTCATGGGGGGAATACCAGGAGGGAGAGAAAGATAAGAGGGAGATTTTTCACTATACATCTTTTTAAAAAATCACAGGAATGTATTACTCACTCAGAAATGTCAATAAACGAAGGACCTTGCAGGGCCTCGCACCTCCTCCTGGTTTGATGCCCCCCACCCAGGCCGGGCCCACGAGGAGGGCTGGCGGCCTGAGCCTGGCCTCACCCGGCCACCTGACCCTCCGCAGCCCCGGCTGCGAGGTCAGGAGGACTTGGAGCTACGCTGGGGCCACGCGCACGGCAGGGCCTCGCGACCCCCCCGAGGAGAAGACGGCACTCTGGGGG